TTTTATATAGTTAAAAAAAAAAATTTTTTTTTTTTTTTTTACTTAATTTTATGATCAATTCAATGTGCTCTTTTTTTTTTTAATGCATTGAGCACACACATTTTAATTGTGTAATAGTAATCCAAATTTCATTATGTACTTTTTTTTTTTTTTTACTTTTTGTTGATCTCTAGGGCACAGGAAACCTTTATATGGTAGAATTTGATAAGTCTGGAATGAATGGAAATACATTTATGGAAACGCTAAATATAGTTCAGCCAACCTGCCAGCCTGACATGGTTAATCTAGCCATTGCACATGGGCACAGTATAGTACCAGGGGACACCGTTTTAGCACCATGGGAGCCAGAAATGAGACGATACGGGCCTGGAAGGGTCATCTATGGTGTGGAGCCAAGAGATCCAATAAAAGGTGAGGTTTACAACCAATTTCGAGCCATTATTTTACTATAAATTCCAAAAATATTCACAAAATTAATCCAAGAGGAATTTGTTGTTTCTTTAAAGAGCCCATATTATGGGTTTTTGAAAATTCCCCTCCATGTAGTGTGTAACACAGCTCTAAGTGAAGTGAAGTATCCAGCTAAGGCTTAAATCTGTAAGAATACAGTGTTTAAAACTGTTGATTCATCTATAAAAGAGTCGAATCATAGTGCTTCAAACGAGTCGCCTTGATACCGACTCATTAGGTGTTTCGCCATGACGTACGAACGAAACAAAGTTTTTCACGTGCACGCGCAAACCCGGGAGATTTCAAACCTGAGGCCCCGCCCTCTGACGCAGTAACCCAGACACACACACACACACACCCACAAACACACGCACACCCACAAACATGCCGGTCGATTGAAGTCACACAGCAGATGGATATATTGAGTCTCTACCCAAAGATGAAACATCAGCATTATAACCAAGCAGTTGGAAACTTCTGGAAGCTACATGCTACAAAGAATACTTCATCTGAGTTTGTTAAAGGAAGGATCAGTAAAGAGTAACTGATGGACGTCAGGATGGGTTTCTTCCTACATTTCTCAAGTGTAAGTACGTGCGGTTAAAGTTGTTGCCTCGTTTACTCTAGCTTGCACATGTATTTAGTTGTGATTTGTTACTTGTAACCGCGTGTACTGTATCAGGTTAACTGGATATATTATCTTATCGCGTGCAAAGTCACGTTAAAAACGCGACGCGTGCTGTTTGTTTATGGAGCTCCGTGCTAGAGTTCTGCTCCCGCGATTTATTCGGAAATGTATTCCCGCGCCGCAGAAATCTGGCGCGGGGAGAGAGAGAGAGAGAGAGAGAGAGCGAGAGAACGAACGAACGAACGAGCTTTGTGTACTTTGTGCTGTGTGTGTGTTTTTATCCAGACAGCTTGGCTGTCTGGACTGTATACTGGGTGATATTTGGTTGTGTTCTCCGCTCTAGCGGGACCGGGCGCGGCGGGCAGAAAACGGAGCGGGTTCTCAGGCTAAAACCTGGCGGGTGCGGGCTGAAGCGGGAGCGTTGTCATCCGGAGGTGTGTGTGTGTTTTTGTGTGTGTGTGTGGTATGGCGAGTACACGACTGTCTCCTTCGTTGGCCATTTCCCTCTCTGACTGAAGGCAGTCGACCAATCGCGACAGACTGTCATCGGTCCAATCAGCGCAGATTAGCTCCGCGCTAAGGAGGGGTTTGGGAACAAATGAATCACTGGACGATTCATACAGGAGTCGCTGAGATAATTAGGTAAAAATAAATGCAGATTATAAGACCATGAAAGTGTTTTTTGACCTTGCATGCATATTAGACTGTTGTTGGAGACCCTTACAACCAAGATATGACCTTATTTCATGTATAATATGGGCTCTTTAAAGGCGATGACAGTAATTTAGGACTCCAGGTTCTCTTCTGGAATGGGATGACCGTTCACATCCCCAAAGCTCTTGCTGTATGGATTCCAGCCTCTCAGTATGAGCATATAATCAAAGAGCTCCAGCACTGCTCATTCAGGCCATGCTGCCACAGGCTTTCACACTGCAGCACAACGGCATGTTTTGAAATGCCAAATCACCAGTGCAGCCATCACAATCTGTTCTCCATTTCTCAATACCACTATCCAGTCAAGAGGTGCCAGCCAGCGTTCATGTCACCGCCAGTACTGGCCAACCAAAGGAAAGATGAGCTGGAGAGGAAAGTTGATCTTCAGCTGAAAGAACTACAGACTCAAGCATCTTCAAGCTCTGACACAGATGACAATGAGGAAGATATGGAAAATGAAAAACAACGGTCTTCGGAGTCAGAACTAGTGAGCCGCTCAATAAACACAGAGATTTCTTGCCTGAGAAAGCCATACGCTCAACCTGAGGCCAGACCAGCCTGGCAGTACTGGAAAAGAGGTTCTGCAGAACCACATCACATGAAGCCAGGTAATGGGGAAATGATTACAACATAGATATCAAAATGGATGAATACCTACGCAACCATTGAGTTTTAAAGAATATTTCAATTTAATTGAAAAAATAACTTAACAGTTGTTTGTTTATATTGTTATACATTTATGTTAGGAGTTCAACAGTACACAGAGGTAGCAGTTCGGTACATACCTCAGTTTGTGTATGTAAAGAAAGGACTCGAGCACAGGATGAGAGAGAATCTTATATTTCTATTGTTTTTCTATAAATGCAATTGATGGACGTGCATGACCACTCGGGTGTTCTGCAGTAGGCATGGGCTGGTATAAGATTCTGACGGTATAACCTTGGATAAAAATATGAGGGTTTCGTTAGAGATCTGCACAGGACTAAAATTTTAATCTCGCTCCCGGTTTTATACAGTACCCGACCGCTCCCGCCATATATTCAGTCTTTGTTCACCCGCTGCCCGACCCGACTATTCCCGCTAAATTTAGATCTGGTTTCCAAAATCTCACGTTAAAATTGGACATTACTAAAAGAGAGAGATAACACATAAAAGTGTAGGTTGTGCATCGATTGTAGGCTAAATGTCAGTTTTGTTTGCCCCTTTGTGATGAGACATGAGTGCCGCTTGACCATTGCGTGGGACGTGCGGAGAGGTTTGTGGCTGGTGAGGCACTGACTCTTTCATAGTCAGATTTACCAAAATATCCACTCAGTATATTTGCCAACTACCGATTGTGTTTCATATATCATATCAGCATTGTTTCTACACATGTAGCAGGTGCATATTGGGCCATGGAAGAATGTATAGCAATTAAATAGATCTCCCAAAAACACCCAGCCGGATGTTACAGAGTCCAGTCAGCCTATTAAAAGCGACACATATACACACACATAAACACACACACACACACAGGTGCTTTATTGGCATGCAGTGCAAAGCAGTCACGCTCATTTTTTTTTATCAGGAGCAATCTAATTAGGTCGCCCGCTCCCATACAAATTACAGTTCCCGATCGCTACCGCAGTATATTCGGAAATTTATTCCCGTGCCGCAAGACAACTGATCGGGTACCGCGTAACAGCCACAGGAATGCAGACCTCTATTTCTCTGTATTGTGATTACTGCTCTAAAATATGCTCTTTTTGAATATTCAGGTAAAAAAAAATTGTCACAATATATTTTATTTAAAGAAACATTTCAAATGTTTTGGAAGAGTAAACATGTAAGGGGGTGGGGTGGGGGGCATGGTGGCACAGTGTGTAGCGCTGTCGCCTCACAGAAAGAAGGTCATTGGTTCAAGCCTCGGCAGGCTTAGTTGATGTTTCTATGTGTTCTCCTCGTGTTCATGTGGGTTTCCTCTGGGTGCTCCAGTTCCCCCCACAGTCCAAAGACATGCAGTACAGGTGAATTGGGTAAGCTAAATTGTCTGTAGTGTATGTGTGTGAATGAGAGCGTATGGATGTTTGCCAGAGATGGGTTGCAGCTGGATGGGCATCTAAAACATATGCTGGATAAGTTGGTGGTTAATTCCACTGTGACGATCCCTGATTAATAAAGGGACTAAGCTGAAAATAAAATTAATGAATGAAACATGTCAGGCTAAATAAATAATGTAAATCATTGACTTCTGCTTTCCTTGTTAGTTTCGAAAACACAGATTTCTGTACAACTTGAAAAGGTTTCTCTGTATGTTTTCTTTTCTGTGGATAAAAAGTAAGCCACTACACTGTGCAGAGCATGAGTTGCGAGCCTCTGTGTATCAAGTTGATATGACAACGGCAACATGGCGAAAATATTTCAAGAGTATAGAAGCGGTGTAAGTTTGTTGCCATTTCTGAGCTCTGCATCTTGCAATTTCAGACGCAAAGACGCATTCTTTGAGAATGGCTGCTGAGTTGTACTGCTGTGGCCTTTTTAGCCGACTCCAGTGACTGGACTGACTTTCTCAAGAAAAAAACTAAACACTAATTGTTTCAAAATATAAATTGTTTGTACTGACTCAGTGTTTTTGGTATTTCAGGAAGAACAGTAAAATCTACAAATGTCAGCCATTCTTGGCCAAGAGACTCTGGAAATTCTGCGAGATCTACAGGAAATTCAATGATGACCAATCACAGCTCTTTATTCAAGCTGGTTCCTAATTCACCAAAACAAAGAGTCAAAATGAGAGACATATTTAGCTGAACTGAAGTCAGCACAATCTCCACTAACTGGAGCAATCAGCAAAAGACCAACCAAACTGATACTAATACCACAACCAAGGATTTTTTTTTTTTTTTTTTTTTTTTTGAGTTCTCAGTTTTGCCAGTGAGGGATGATATTTTTCTGTAAACCGAATATCTTGGAACATAAAAGACTATCATGTAAAATTACACAGAAGTTTATTAATCACCAACATCAGGGAATAAAGTGAAATTAAGGGCAAATGTCTTGCTGCTAAATCTCATTGTGGCTAATTAAATCCACGATTACTATAAAAATAGATGAATACATATTCCTGAGCATCAAACAATACAATTGATGAATACTTACGAAAGTCAGAATCAGTGCGTTTAGAATTTTACTGCAAGTCCTCAGTGAAGGCCATTTAAAATAGAGCTGAAGTTCAGAGGTTAAATGCAAGGCTCATGCTCTCTCCTGCATCGACATGGACAGTTTTGGTCTGTGGTCTTGTGTCCTGCATTGCTGCTGTGATAGAATAGGTTCCCGGAGACACTTCAATGAGGAAATCCTCTGCTTCTGACAAACCCTTCAATAAAATATGAAGGCGAACCACTATGAGGAGCTCATTTGCAGAATAAATGTGATTGGTTAAAGGGATAGTTCACCCAAAAATGAAAAAATTACTCACTATTTACTCAGGGCCATTTACACGTTTTGTTATTTGGTAACACTTTATTTTGATGGTTAATATCTGTTGATACTGCTCCTTCAACTGACATTTAACTGACTATAAGAAACTTTGCAAGTACATGTCAGCTTACACTAACGCCAACCTAACAGTCTACTTATAATCTAATGAGAATTAGTTGGCATGTAGATACAATGTAAGTAAAACCATCAAAATAAAGTGTGAACTGTTATTCTGTTGGACACAAAGAAAGATAATGTGAAGAAAGCTAAAAAAAAAAAATCTGTAGTCAAATTATTTTTCCTTTTCCCAACAGAAAAAAGAAACTCAGACAGGTTTGGAACAAGTTAATGGTGGTTAAATGATGACAATTTTCATTTTTATGAATGTTTACCATGTTCTTAAGGCAAGACACTGCAGGTGTAACAGGTGGAATAGGGTAAAAAAAATATTATATCATCATTACATCATTAGTTGATTTATAACATTAAGAATTGCATACAATTTTATTAGTAGAAGCTTTATTAAATGTATGTTAAAAATGTGTCTTTTCATTAAACATGCTATTTTGTTACACGTTTTAGCACAAAAAAACATTCAGGAATTAAAACTCAGAAAATACTACAAAGTAAATTGTAAATTAAATTTAAGGTAAACTATATAATCAGGTAAATTATGTATGAATATAAACCAGAATATATACAGGTTTAGAACAAGTGAAGGGCAGATAAGCGTTGACAATTTTCATTTTCAGGTGAACTATGCCTTTAAATATGGCTTCTATCAAATTCACAAAATCTATGAAAAAACTCATCAAATACGTACTGCATATTGTTTAGTGGCAGCCGTAGCATTGTGCTTCTGGTCTGCAGTCTTCAAGGTCTGCTGGGAATGATAACGACAGATGTGCTCTTGCTCACTGGGCTGAGTCCGGTGCACAGATGTGTAATATTTCTGTAAAAGAGACACAGGCTTTTATTTTCTCACTCAGGTCTCAATAAAGCATCCTCATTACGTCTAATTATTTTGATTAAAGATTATAAGGAATATAATAGGATGTGCGTGTATAAAGTATCTACAGCACATTTGTTTGTTTGTTTTATTTGCTGGCATGTTTACTTATTTTTTTATTATTATAGTTTGACTATTTAGATTTTTTTGTGGTATTAGTGGTGGAAAGAGTACTGAAAAGTCATACTTAAGAAAAAGTACAATTACTTGCCAAACAATGTGGTGCGAGTAAAAGTATCTGTTGTAAATATTACATACTTATATTAAGTATGAGTAAAAAGTAGCCCTTTCAAAAGTACTCAAGAGTAGCGAGTATTACACTGTAAAAAGCTGATGCATTTACATGTAATTTGTGCATGTGTGGTCAAACGTAACATTCTGTAGTGCATTTAGTTATTGCCCAGCAGGCACACAACACCATAAGACCTAAATACTAGGTTAATTTTAGGTTGTGATGTCAGGTGACCAAAATTCAATGTCTAGCTAGCATCTAAGGACAATGTTATTTTGATGTCAAATAACGACGTCAAACAATGTTGATATTTGGTTGATTTTAGGTTGTGTTAGAAAGTGACCAAAATCCAACATCGAGCCACCATCTTAAACCAGTCATACTGATGTCAAATACTGACATTTATTCGACAGGTATGGCAACCAAAATCCAACATCTGACCGTTGTCATAGTGGTAACGTCCACTCAACCTCAAGCTGTAACATCATTAGACGTTGATATTTGGTTGATTTTAGGTTGGACGTTGAGGTTGGCCCGACATTGGGTTCCTATGTCAACCCGATTTTCATTTCTCAACAAAATGCAACATCCCCACGACATCACAACGTCAATCTGATGTCTTGTGCCAGCTGGTTGTTTAAGGCTATTTCTGTCATCATACAGTAAACATTCGTCATCATCTCATCAGGGACATGCATCTAAACAGTCTCTGGGTTAATGCATGTAAAGATTTTGGACATCTTCTAGGACAATTTTAAAGTTTCCAAACAGTTTGCTTATAAATTGCCTAACGGCTTAAAAGTTCAATTAAAATGTTTTCACCTTGCATTGTCTGGTAGTTTCTGACATGTACTCCACTATTGTTGCAAAAGCATGGTTCAAGTTTGAATGGCAGGTATCTCCCTGTAAAAAGTAATAAAAAATAAAAAATTAGTTTTATGCACATTAATTATTAAGGATCTGGAGTGAGTCAACTGACCTCTGAGCCCCTTTCCTTGTGACAGAACCCGAGAGTTGGTCTAGATTTTGTACTTGAGCTGCTAACAGACCTTCTCTTTGCTTTCTCCAACACCTCCTGGCCGAGTTCATATGACCGGCGCAGAGAAGACTCCAACCAGGTTTGACTGGCCATGAACACAACTGTTCGGGATTAAACCTGTATGTGAATATAAACAGTATTTCATAACGTGCACAAAGTTATTGACACAACAATGAAGTCACAATACGGACAACTAGTTTGCTGAGCTCCTTTTGCATTCTTTAAAACTAACTTGTTTTGTTTTTCAGGTTTCTCCAACATTTTAAGCAGCAAACATGTAACGAATGTAACGAGCCAAAAGTATACCACTTCTCTAATGTTGTGTACAATCTAAAACTCACAACACAACAAAAAACTTACAATGAAATGACGCCTAAAATGTTCGCGGTTTCCTTTTTGAACGTGTTTAGTTCACTGAATCTCGAACTGTTGCCGCTGTATTGAGTGATGATGGGCGTGTGGCGCTGAAGTGAAAGTTGAAAAGCATTTCCTCTTTCCCAAGTGTTGCTGGGAAATGAAGTCTAGTCGGTGGCTTTAATGGATAGTTCACCAACAAAACAAATTTATCATTTACTCTCCCACCATTTGTTCCAAAGTTGTTTGTGTTTCTTTCTTCTGCTGAACACAACAGAAGATATTCTGAAAAATGTTAGAAATCAGCAGCCATTATATACAAAAGTATTTATTTTATAGATGTCAGTGGTTACCGGTCTCCAACATTCTTTAAAATATATATTTTTGCATTAAAACTTATTAATTTTTTTGTTAAAAAAAAACTCAAAGCTT